AAGACACACCCATGAATTGTTGAAGTGCGGACCATGGTCCTCTACTCTCCACGTGCACAAACGACAAAAAATTATGGCGGTGTATCTTTCTATGTTCTAGCGTCAGATTCATTCTCCTTTTGCACATTCGGAATGTAGTAGTGGAGCGAGGTCCCATAACTTGTTGAAGTCCAGCCTGAGCTCCAATTCAAAGGGAATCAGATGAGGAAAAATTTCGACGTTTCTCTGTCGCCAGCAAATTCAGGTGACGGGTAGCACAGGTTCATTAGGAGGTACGGTTCCATTAGCACACGAGTCATGGCCTATTATGACCTGTGGGGCACTGTAAGAGAAGGAAGAAAAGTAATTTTTAGGACTTGAAAAAAAAAAAAATGGCGACGACGTGACGTCACATTTCCCAAGATGGAAGGAGGCCGACTTTTGAAAGTGCTGCGGTCACACTAATAACCCTCCCGTCTCCCCCGTCTCCTCCCCCTGCTCCCCATCGAGCCAATGCCTGATCAGGACAGAGTGGTACATGACTGTTGCAGTCTTGCGTACCACAGCGAGGGGAGTCGCTTTGTGTGCCTGATGGGACTCCCTTCTCTGACCGTTGCCATGCCGAAGTGTTCGTTTCGTATATTTTGAGAGAAATAAAGTACTGGATGGGGTTAACAATTGACGGGGAAAAAGAAGGCAGTCAAAACCGTGCCCTTTGAGTACTCGATTTTTTTTTATCTTTTGAAGAGCTGCCAATCAAAATGAGTCTTTCTATTTTCTTTTCCCGCCTCCCATTCTTGGGAACTGAAAAGAAAGCACACACAAAAAAAAAAACACCGCTTCTGAATATAAATCCCTTGCAGTTTCGCTGCCATCCGATTCTCCTGCATCAGTGGTTGGACGATGTCCCGCAGATGTCCCACAGGTGTTTGTGGGACACGGTTTACGTTACTCCTTTGCTAGTGGAGCCGTGCTCTAGGGCTAAACCGGTAGCAGAGTTTGAAAAACCGACGTAGTGGCAAAAATTGAAAATGTGTTGAATTGCCTCCGCGATTTATTTCGTCGTTCAAGATTTTTTTTTTTTTTTGGTCAATATTTTTCCTGGAAAGACCAGGAGCAAATATACGGACCCTCAAATTCTCAAAAACTTTGACGCATTCTTGGATTTATTTCGCCTGAGTACTTCTCTCGTTCGCCCACAAATGGCACAGTGGCAAAACTGCAGCATGCACCCGATCGGCGCGATAATTGTTTAACGGTCAATACATATATATATATATATATATATATATATATATATATATATATATATATATTTTGGATAGTTTTCCTGGAAAGATCACGACCTAATCTACCGACCCTCAAATTTTCAGAATTTTCTGTCAATTCTTCTGAGCGCAAAAAATTGCCAAAGTGGCCACGTGAAAATTGTAGGACTAGGCCCCCGCGTTTTTGGCCTCTAGTTGCCATCCTCCCTCAAAACCCGCCCGAACTCACCGGGAGGGCTATTTCCTGGATGCATGGCCCGAAGGGTCATTTTATTTATATACCCGGGCTGGTCGAGACAGGCCTAGGTAGTATTGGTTTCATGGATGGATGTCCCGAAGGACATGTTGCCTGTGTCTTTACCAGCCCGGGCAAATAAATAAAACGGGAACTAAAATGGGAAATAAAATGGAGAATTGACTGATTTATTCTGTCTTCTTCCCTCCCCCCCCCCGGTTTAACTCGGGTCCCTATTCGGTGGGACCGCCACGTGCTGCGAACTGGACACAACGTCGCCGGGAAGTTAGGGACCCAAAGTGCCGTAGTCTATCTTTCAACAGTCAATGGGTGTGCCAATTAATTCTTTACCTTCAAAAAAAAACTCGCTTGTCAATTAATTCTTATCTTGACGGTCCGATCATGTTATTAATTGGGATGCTTTGAATCATGTGGGGAAATGTTGCTGCCGGGAACGTACCTAGATCGATATGCCATCAGGTGCATGAGCCCATGCACCCTCAAACCCTAAAACACAAAACCTAAAACTCGCAACCCCCAACCCCCCAAAATCCCGAACCCCAAACCCCTGAACTCCAAACCTAAATGGTAAACCCTACCCCCAAAACCCTAAGCCCTAAACCTTAAACCATTCACACCCTAAACCCTACACCACCGTTAACCCTAAAATCCTAAACACCGCAAAACCCTACAACCCTGAACCCTAAAACTGCAAAACCGTAAAACCCTAAAGCCTTCACCATTCAGCGTTAACGCTAAAATCCTAAACACCGCAAAACCCTACAACCGAAACCCTTTAACTGCGAAACCATAAAACCCTAAACCCTAGGCCATTCACCGTTAACCCTAAAACCCTAAACCCTAACCGTTAACCCTAAACCCTAACCGTTAACCCTAAAACCCTAAACCCTAACCCTAAACCCTAAACCATTCACCGTAAACCCTAAAATCCTACACACCGCAAAACCCTACAACCCTAAACCCTAAAACTGCAAAACCCTACAACCCTAAACCCTAAACGCCCGATGTTGTTGTTTTCTGACTATTTCATGTGGTTGAGTGACTGTCCATTGCTACTTTCTCTAAACCCCCCTTCCCTTAAGGAAATCTATTTTAACCAAGTAAAACCCCTGGTAAAACCCCTGGTAACCCCCCCTGGTAACCCCCCCTTGGTAACCCCCCCTGGTAACCCCCCCTGGTAAAAAACCCTGGTAAAAACCCCTGGTAAAAAACCCCTGGTAAAAACCCCTGGTAAAAAACCCTGGTAAAAAACCCTGGTAAAAAACCCTGGTAAAAGGCCCTGGTAAAAAACCGTGGTAACTTTTCAAGACATTGAGTTGCTGGAGGATAACTCTTGTGATAATTTTTTCCGATCAGACAAATGGAAGGGAGCTGTAATATGTGGCCCATTTGGGGGAATGGGACACGGTGATAATTGTTGGCAGCCAAAAAAAAAAGGTCTCGAAACTCCAAGCCTGAAACCGAAGACCGAAATATGAGATGGTTAAGAGATGCGGTGTTGTGGGGCGGTGGGGGGATGTGACAGGGATGCAATGGAATGGACAAAGATGAGAGAAGAGGCTCGGGAGCGGCGGCAACGGCAGCTCCAAAGCCGTCTTGAGAGACTGAATGGGATGTCTGCCAACTGCAATGTCGTGTCACGCATAAAGAAGAAGGTTAGCTCCAAGATTTAACCTTCTTCTTTCTTCTTTCTTCATCTTCTTTCTTCTTTCTTCTTTCTTCTTTCTTCTTTCCTCTTCTCTCTTCTTTCTTCTTCTTTCTTCTTCCTCTTCTTCTTCTTCTTCCTCTTCCTTCTTCCTCTTCTTTCTTCTTCTTCTTTCTTCTTTCTTCATCTTCTTTCTTCTTTCTTCTTTCTTCTTTCTTCTTTCTTCTTCCTCTTCTCTCTTCTTTCTTCTTCTTTCTTCTTCCTCTTCTTCTTCTTATTCCTCTTCCTTCTTCCTCTTCTTTCTTCTTCTTCTTTCTTCTTTCTTCCTTCTTCCTTCTTCCTTCTTCTTTCCTCTTTCTTCTTCTTTTTCTTCTTTTTCTTCTTTCTTCTTCGTCTTTTGGAATTCATGATGCTTTGTCGCCAGAAGCCTGCAACGTGGCATTTCTTTCTTCTTCTTTCTTCCTCTTCTTCTGCTCATTTCTCTTCTTTCTTCCTCTTCTTTCTTCTTCTTCTTTCTTTCTTCTTCTTTCCTCTTCTTCTTTCTTCTTTCTTCTTTCTTCTTTTCCTTCATTTTTCTTCTTTCTTCTTCGTCTTGTGGAATTCATGATGCTTTGTCGCCAGAACCTGCAACGTGGCATTCGTGATGGGGATCTGTTTGGTGACAAGCAGCCTGAGAAGCAGATCGGTGACCGCGGGCTTCTCAGCCCGATTGGTGACAAGCAGCCTGAGAAGCCCGCGGCCGTGGTCCTAATCTTTTGGTGCATTTCAGAAAGGGAAACGCAGTCGTGATGTATATGCGCTGTCTATGTGTTGTATGTACTGAGAGGCAGCTGGCATTTATCGTCATGCTGGTCTGTCTTGGTCAGTAGTAGCCTGACGCGCTATTTTATTATTTCGAAGGGAGTCGTGGTTTGAGCTATCGACATGTTGTCGGGTGCGTGCTCTCCTAGATGGTATGCAACCTGCATGTGTCGTGTATTGGCTGAATCTAGCTGGAAATCCGGTCAGATTCCTTCCTTTCAACCTGCATGTGTCGCGGACATCGAGCGGAGTGAAGGTCGTCACTCTCGCATCCGACTCGTCCACCATGCTGACCTTTTGATGAGATGTTGTAGAAAATCTGTAAATACCTAGGCTACCAGAGTGACCTGGGGCCACTTGCCCGGCCGGGCCAAAAAAAATAAAAAAGTAAAAAAATAAAAATCATTTTTGGAACTTTTTTTTTTTTTTTTTTTAATTTGGTAACGAATTTCGAAGTGACCCCTGAGGCAAAAGTTGTGCAGTTTATTTTTCTGCAGAACATAGTTTTTTTTCGGATTTTTTTTTTTTTTTTTTTTTACTAAGACCTTCCCTGGCCCTTGCACGGCCGGGCCGTCGGGGAAAATAGGGTGACCCGGGCCGGGCCGGGCCGTTGGGAATAAGCTAAAAATAAATTGCCGGAACGAAACGGCAAAGGTACTAGTGGTTGAAGACAAAGAAATGCTTGACAAGAACTCGGTTCATATTTACATAAACTTATAATTTAATAAATTTATAAAGTAATATAAACAGACTGTAAAGATTTAGAGAGCATGGGTGCTTTTTAGAAGGTAGGAAGTCGTGTATGGAAGTTTGGTATGAACTTCATGGTATAGAGATATTCGATGATAACATCGATAAGAAATGGACGACCACTGCTTCATAGACATGAAGATTATCAGAAATGTATGATGATGACAATCCCCCACTTAAGGGGGCTGGAGACGGAAAACAGAAACTCGGTGGGTTTTTTTTTTTTTTTTTTTTTTTTTTTTTTTTTTTTTCGAATAGCCCTTGCGTAAAACCCCCTATCCCGGCGGTGGTAAGAGAACCGTCAGGATTTAAGGTTTCTCTGTCGGGCTGCTCCATCTATTGGTGGGGAGCCGCACTACACAATTAGTCAAGAGAGTACGAGATCCGATGTCTCTCCTCTTGCGTGCACTCGCTGAAGTCAGGCCTTCGGCTTCGCCCACTTTGTGTCCAGAGGTTGCCTGGAAGTCCATGGGGGTACCACTGGTCTCACTTGATCCCAGTGAAACCCCACCATTGATTGATTTGCTCTCGAGGAGGGGTGGCACGGGGCAACTGGGGTCGCCGTGCCTCATCAAGGTCCATGTCTTCCCGCAGGTAGGTGTCGCTGCGCGGCTCAAGTTGAAGCACGGAGCTATGACAAGCAGTGAAGGGGCTTCTTGATGGTTGGCGGCGGAGTACGTTGGTGGTTCTTCCGCGGGCTTCTTCTTTTTTTTGGTAGAGTGGAGGCTCAAATTGGAGGGGAGAAGGAAGGACGGCGAAAATGAATAAATGTGGCTTTTTTTTTAGATGAAGAAAAGGCTAGCAGGGGACACTAATTTTCTCGCATGAAATTTGTTTTGTAGAAATTTAGAAAGGCAGCAAAGGCGAAAGAATAGTACGCCCTCTGAGCTGGGCACGCAGCTGGCAGCTGGCCGAACGGGAGGAAGCGTGAGTCTTCCCTTTGCGATGTATTATATGTTGACTTGCCGGTGGAATAGGAACCGGACTGACGCTCCCCAGAATAGGAGGAGTCAGGACCACAAGGTCCTGTTTAAAAAAAAAAAAAAAAAAAAAAGAAAGGCAGCAAAAGCTGTAAATACGGGCTTTATTTCAATCTTAAAGCACCACTACCTTTTCCCATGTTGGCCTCAGGGGTCGGTCTCCTAAACAAGACGATGGCCGCCGATGTGATTTATCGACGGCGGTAGTCGTGGGGACAAACCCCCGAGTTCTTCTTAGGAGTATGATATTTTATTATTTTCCCGTTTTCCCACCCAACAGCGGGGAAGGTAGTGGTGGCTTACGGTGAAGAACTACTTGTGCATGGCAGCATGCAACAGCTTATCTTGTTCTCTTCCTTTTTTTTTTTTTTTTTTTTTTTTCCCTCCTCTCTTTTGTCTGTAGTTGGAGAAACCACTCACACACAATAAGCATGCAATTTTTTTTTATTTTTTTTTTTGTGAATACCAACAAGAACTATGTGAGTATGAGAGGCAACTCAGTCGTTCCATTCGAAATTGACAAACGATTTAGGCTACCAGAGTGGCCCGGGGCTACTTGCCCGGCCGGGCCCAAAAAAAATAAAAAAAATAAAAAATAAAAAACATTTTTTAACTTTATTTTTTATTTTAACTATAGTAAAGAATTTCGATGTGACCGTGAGCCAAAAGTTGTTCAGTTTATTTTTCTGCATAACATAGTTTTTTTAACTTTTTTTTCGTTTTTTTTTTTTTTTGGGCTACGACCTTCCCTGTTCCTTGCACGGCCGGGCCGTCCGGGGAAATAGGGTGACCCGGGCGGCCCGGCTGGTAGCCTAGACAATGAAACCCCTTTTTTTTTTTTTTTTTTTCCTCTATCTAGCGTTAGCTTATTAGACAAGAAATGCTTGTGCATGGCAGCATCTAACACACAGCTTGGCTTGTTCTCTTCCTGCTCTTCCTCCTCTCTCTTTCTCTGTCTCTTCTATAATACTATACTCTGCCATGGAGATGTGTGCAGGTGAAGATCTATGGTGCGATCAGACTAAGTAGTGGTGAGCGCGAAGCATTGATCAAACAACATAGGGCACAGGCACGTAAGCAGCGAATTTTGCAGGTAAGGTATTCTTTTCAAGATTTTAGCAAACGCTGCTCCGCCCGATCAGTATTTAATATTTATCTGCTTTTCTTGTCTGAGAGCAATGACCATTTGACCCTTTTTTTTTGGTGTTCCTCTTTTAGGGTTTAGGGTTTAGGGTTTAGGGTTTGTCACTCCATACCTCTGTACCTCTTTTTTCTTCTCCTTCACAAATGGTTAACAGGTAACCTCACTTTTCACCCCTAGGGTAACCTTCTCTCCCTTGAGTGCAACATGCCAACCTGCCTTTTGTCGTCCGTCCTATCCTGCCTAATTGCTACCCTTACTGCCACTCTCCTCCATTCCACTGCCTCCACTCTCCCTACCTTCCAGTCTCCCTACTGCTACTCTCCCGCCCTCCTCTCTCCTTTCCTGCTTCTCTCCCTGGCAATCTCCCTTCCTGCCAGTCTCTCTCATTTCTATCCTCCTTTCCTTCTTCTCCCTCTTCCTCCCTCTGCCCCCTCCCCATCGCTCTCTCCACTTCCAGTTTTGCTTTGGTTGGTATGATCTGAAGTAGAAGTCCACTTCTCTCTCTCTCTCTCTCTCTCTCTCTCCTTCTCTCTCTCTCTCCCTCTCCCTCTCTCCACTTCCATTTTTGCCTTGGTTTGTATGTTCTGAAGTACAAGTTCACTTCCCTCTCTCTCTCTCTCTCTCTCTCTCTCTCTCTCTCTCTCTCTCTCTCTCTCTTTTTTTTTCTCTCTCTCTCTCTCTCTCTCTCTCTCTCTCTCTTTCATTTTGTTGTGGCTTGTATGTTCTGAAGTAGAAGTTCACTTCCCATGGTATAGGAATTGAAAAAAATCACACTTGCTCCCTGCCTCCTGTGAAATGCCAGAGGCCAGCCCACCTCGAGCTGTTAGTTGATTGTGATTGCACAACGATGAGGGTTCCCTTCCCTTCTCTGGATGCTGGAATGCATAAGGGAAACAATCGATTGATCTTCTCACTCGTTACCTGTTATTTTGTGCAAAAAACCGTTGAGCCGACCTTCCGCTGGAACTGCGTGGTGCTTCCAGGTACGGAGTCAGGAGGTACTTCTTTCCGCAAGGAGAGCTCGGGAGATGGAGAAGGCATCCCTGAAGAGAAAGCGTGAAGCACGCAAACAAATGCATGTGAGTGCGGTTCAATTCTAGCTGCCTATCTGTTTTGTTTATGTAAGCACTGAAAGTTGTTTGAATTATTTGATTGTTTTCTGGATTAGTATTCACAAATAATATATGACCATTTGAACGAATTATATACTCAATGAAATTACAAGCTCTTCGTAAATAAAGAAGTGTTCTTTCTAAATGAATAATAGCGATTTCTTTTCGTAATCCGTACAGATATGGCTGAAAGTCTGAGGGGTAGGTGTACGATTACCAAAATGTGCCTTTGTACTTAGTAAGCACGTGATTGCACCGAAAGGTCTGTGCAATAACACTGCCCTTTTTCTTCCCCCCCCCCCCCCCTCCCCCCCTCCTCCTAAAGAGCAATAGACCCCGGCCTGCCCAGCGTGAAATGTCATGCCTACCAGGTCACGGTGACTGTGAGTGACTTAGGCATTCAGTTGGCGCGCAATGTTATGCATTCTGTTGGGCACAAAAATGTCACAAATTCCCCTGAAGCTGTGGAACCTATCTATCGTGCACCCCTGAAAATTTCCGGAGTTTCAGGCTCATGGAGTTTTGTGCACCGCCCTCGTAGCCCCCTAGGGTCCTATAGGCTGACCCTTTGATTTGACAGCGAGAAGACGGCCTCGAGTTTCAAAGGAGAGGGTTCGGTACTAGTGTCTGCGTGTGGGTGTTGGTGTGGGTGTGTTGGTGGGTTTGGGGGTGTGTGGGTGTGCGTGTGGGTGTGGCTGTGGGTGTACAGATGTGTATGTCTGTGTGTGTGTGTGTGTGTGTGTGTGTGTGTGTGTGTGTGTGTGTGTGTGTGTGTGTATGTGTGTGTGTGTGGTGGGATCTAAGGAACTGGATACGTGCATCATTCTGGTGAGATTGAACTTGTTCACGAGGCTTTTGTGGTGCTGGCTGATGTTTTTTTGTGTGTGGTGCTGGCTTCAGGCATAATAAGGGTAATGGCTACCACGTTTGGTGGGCATTGTGGATGCACCAAGTGGGGTATATAGCCTATGCATGGCCCCCCTGTTTAGTGCATGGGGGGATGGATGAACGGCGGCATTCATCTGTTCATCGTTTGCGTTCCCCCGGTGTTCGAACGGAACGGACGGCACCTGGCCTTTTTGCGGGGTGGAGGCCTTTAACGACCCGGAAAAAAAAAAAAAAAAAAAAGAGCAGGGGCGTGCCCTGGCTTGTGGTTTACCCCCCTATTTTTTTGGTATTTTTTCTCGCTGTGACTTAGGATTTCATCTGTGAGTTTGTGCGAACCTATATGACCCATGCATGTGTGTGTGTGTGTGACCTGTGCAGGAAACTAGCCTGGTGCAGGCACAGCAGGAGGTCTCGAGATTAGAGGCCAGATGCGAAGAAGCCCTCATCAGATTGGGGGAAAGCCACCATGCCGCTGAGCTTGCGAATGAGGCTAAGGTACTATTCTTTTTTTTTTTTTTTTTTGAAGGGAGACGGCCTTGAGATATCATCATTGAGCTGACCGGCCGCTGAAATATTCGGTTTCACTCATCAGGTTCCATCGTCTGCATTCGAACTCGGGTCTGTATTTTCAACATTTCATGAGTGTAATATGTAATATTCTTTTTGCGCAAGTGATGAGGGTTTGTGTATGTGATGAGGGTTTTGGGATTAAGGCCCTGGGTTATGTACGCGTGTGTGCAATGTCCGGTATATTTTTGAACAATGGCATGCATGCATCGGTGTGCATTATATTGCACATGGCATGGGTGTGCAATATCTTACCAGCTACCTACGTACCTCGCTCTATCTTACCTGCTTATCTTAGCATCGCGGAATTCCCCATCCATGCGCTGAATGGTGACATACACATCACTCTCTGACCCTCGACGACCTGCTACCGTCTTCACCCGAATAGAACGCCCGGTCACTACAGGTGTATTTGGTGCAACATTCGGTCCAGATGCAGGGATAATGGCCGGGCGTTCTATTCTGGTGAAGACGGTAGGTGGCCTAAGCCTATGTCTATCTGCTGTCAATATTAGTCTGTGTAGTTGTTGCTATATTACTGAGCTTCAATTTCAACGCTCCAAGTGCAGATGCTTCACGTCTGACTGTGCACTTTTGTCATGTACATAAGCTTTTATATATATATATATCCGCCTTTTCTTTACCTCTTTGCCTTTTGGCTGCGTGCAAGTGGGTCTTTGTGACACACGGGGATGGGGGCAGCCAGCGCTCAACCTGCCATCCACGTGGCTGGCCTTGTACGTAAGAGGTGACTAACAGGTGGGGCTTTCCTTCTTTTTCTTTTTCTTATTCTGTCTTTTTCCGCCTTTGCGCTCTGATTTCCATTGTGACAATATATATCGTCACAAACAGAACTGCCCAGTAAACCGTAGGCAGAGAGAAACAAGAGGACAACAAACGAGGGGCTGTGACAAACTGTTTCGTCGGAGTTTCACCGACTCATCAGGAGGCTGAACCCTCAACAGTCTGCAGAATCCCCTCACTGATTACACTGTAAATGATAATCTRCCTTAACCAAAATCAAAGTAGACTATCACTCACCCACACCAGATGGAAAATTCTACAGACTGTCGGTTCACACCCCATCACAACCAAGGAAAACATCCACGAAACAAAGAAAGGTCTGTCACAGCCAAAAAATACACTCCAGACACGCCGCTGGCACTAGAGGCACAGCATATATATATATTCATTTCATTACAAATGTATGTAAAGTTGTAAACTAAAACAAGTAGTAATTTACTAGTAAACAAATTAAAATTTATTAAAATTTTAAAAAATGAATTTTTTGTTTTTAAAATAGATATTGTAGTACCATTACAGAAAGGAGCACCAGTGGAAGAAAAATGAAGCATGAACAGTACACGGCCAAACACCATTCGGGCCCAAACAAGTATACCAGTGCATGGCCCAAACAAGCACCATTCGGTGGAGAGTGTTCTCACATGTGGTGCGTTCTCCTGACGTTGGCTGTTGGCTCTTCGAACATGGACTGTGGCTCAGCTGAAGCTTAAGGCCGAAGAAGCGCAAACGGAGAACTTGAAACGAATGCAAGAGCAAGCTAGATTTGAACTTGCTCTGAAACAGGTAGGGGGGGCGGTAAAGAGGATTTTCTCCAGATAAAGAGTTGATGATGAACCCTTCCAATTTTCTTTTCTTTTTTTCTGTTCTTCTTTTCTTTTCTTTTTTTTTCTTTTCTTTTTTCTCTTCTTGAAGGCGCGACATCCTTGTGGTGGGTCCACCTGAAGAGGCTTTGGCACGCACAAGTGGAAATGTGTCGAGGGAATGTGTGTTTTCTGATGGTGTTTGGTGAGAATCGAGTGATTGTAATGCTTAATGATTATCAAATTTTCACCCTCCATCGGACAGTAATATCTGTGTGTGTCTTGTTCCCCTAACTTCTTCCTCCTCCTCTTCTTCTTCTTCTTCTCCTTCTTCTTCTTCTTCCTCTTCTTTTTYTYYTTTTCTTCTTCTTCTTTTCTTCTTCTTCTTCTTCTTCTTCTTCTTCTTCTTCTTCTTCTTCTTCTTCTTCTTCTTCTTCTTCTTCTTCTTTGTCGTCGTTGTCTTCGTTGTTGTCTTCGTTGTTGTCGTCGTCGTCGTCATTGTCTTCTTCTTCTTCTTCTTTGTTGTTGTCGTCGTCGTCGTTGTTGTCTTCATTGTTGTCGTCGTCGTCGTCATTGTCTTCTTCTTCTTCTTCTTCTCCTTCTCCTTCTTTTTCTTCTTCTTCTTCTTCGTCTTCTTCTTCTTCTTCTTCTTCTGTTTCTTCTTTTTTTTTTTCCGTCATTTTTTTCATTGAGAAGCGGGCGTGAGGTTCACCCATAGCGAGAGTACTTTGACAGAATGGTCACTATGGCATCAGCATATTACAACCAATACTTCCTACTAGTACTAATCATACTATTATAATATGCTAATAGTCATGTATTATTTGGTGGATGTGGTTAGTAGAGCTTGTGTGCTTGTTCGATCGTTCTCTATAGTATAGACTTACATAGCTCATTTGCCTTTATGCATGGCAGGAGCAACATGTGAGAGAGGTCCTTAATGCTGAAAGTCGCATTGCTCAAGGAAGGAGGAAGGAGGCTCAAGAGGCTGCCAAGGTTGAAAGATCCTTAGTCCATGAGGTGGCAGACAAGCTTTCACACACAAAGCATCCAAGAGAATCTGGCGACCGATCCGATGCACCGGTGTCAATCGGTAAGCTTGACACACTTTGTGATTTCCTTTAACCGACAAAGTAAGAGAACAAGATAAGCTGCTACATGGTGCCATGCACAAGTAGTTCTTCACCTTTAACCACCAGTACCTTTCCCGCCGTTGGGAAAACAGAGGGAAAATAGCCTACTCCTAAAAAAATCAGGGGCTGGACCCGACGACGGTTGCCATTGATAAATCTCATCAGAGGCCCTCATTTCGTTTCACCCTCGATGGGGAAGATTGGAGGCCCACCAGAGGCCGACATGGGAAAAGGTAGTGGCGCTTCAAAAAAAAAAAAGAAAAAAGCAGAGCTGCGAGGTAAACCGTAGGCAGAGAGGGAGGGAGAAGAGGACAACAAACGAGGGGCTATATATATAAATATATAGGGGTTCAGCCTCCTGATGAATCGGTGAAACGCCGACGAAACAGTTTGTCACAGCCCCTGCCTTTGTTGTCCTCTTCTCCCTCCCTCTCTGCCTACGGTTTACCGTAGGCAGCTCTGTTTAATGATATATATATATATATATATGGTAGATTTGTTGTGGTATTTAAGAAAACGTTAGAGAAAGGACAATGGAAGGAAGGCGTATTAGTCAAACAAACTAAATGACACATCCCATTTTTTATGTAATTTTCCCCGTTGTTGGGGTATTTTGTTTTGTTGTGGTAATCTTGTCTGCATCCCGGTTGGTTTTGTCCCGTTATTCGGTCTCTTTTGCTAGCAGCAGGTAGCGGTGCTTCATGTGGGACCAGTCATCCCGTTTTTTTTTTTTTTTTTTTTTTTTTTGGCATCCTGGTTGGTTGTTTCCCGTTGTTCGGCCTTTTGAGCGAGGGGCGGTGCTTGTATGTTGGAATCGTCATCTGGGATGGGTTCTTTTTGGTACTTTTCTTGATTTCTTTGCAGACAAGAATGTTTTGACATCCTGGTTGGTCTTGTCCCGTCGTTTGGCCTGTGTGTGCTGGGGTGGTGCTTGCATGTGGGACTTGTCATGTGGGATCTGTTTTGTTGCCCCCTGTTCTGTTTTATTTGGCTGTTCCCTTCCTCTCTTCTTTGCCTCTTTGCCTTTTGGCTGTGTGCAAGTGGGTCAATATGACACACGGGGGTGGGGGCACCCGCCTCTCCACCAACATCCACGTGGGCGGCCTTGTACGCAAAAGAGGTTCTGAACAGGGGGAGTTGTAAGGAAGAAGATTAAAAAAACGAATTCATTTTTTTTTGTTTTCCTTGTTTTCTTTCTGTTTTTCGCTTTGGCGCTCTGATATCATGTGACATATATATATACAGTTTGTCACAGCCCCTCGTTTGTTGTCCTCTTCTCTCTCTCTGCCTACGGTTTACCGGGCAGTTCTGTTTGTGACGATATATATACCGACAGTCTGTAGAGTTTTCCATCTGGTGTGGGTGAGTGATAGTCTACTTTGATTTTGGTTAAGGTAGATTATCATTTACAGTGTAATCAGTGAGGGGATTCTGCAGACTGTTGAGGGTTCAGCCTCCTGATGAGTCAGTGAAACTCCGACCACACCGTTTGTCACAGCCCCTCGTTTGTTGTCCTCTTCTCCCTCTCTGCCTGCGGTTTACCGGGGATATTATATATATATATATCATCAAACAGAGCTGCCCGGTAGACCGTAGGCAGAGAGGGAGGGAGAAGAGGACAACAAACGAGGGGCTGTGACAAACTGTGTGGTCGGAGTTTCACTGACTCACCAGTCGATTGTACGGGAGCTGTATGTTTTCTACGTACCTGTTTAATCAATGGGGATGAAATCTCCGAGTTTTTTTTCCCTTCTTTTTTTAATGAAATTTCCAAGTTGATCCATTGGCTAGGAGCCTTTTTTCGGGGCCAGCAAACATATGGTTCCCTTCAGGTCAGCCTGGGGCTGAAAAAAGGGGGGGCCTCATGAGTACCAGCAGGAGATAGGGCTAGGATAAGCATCATCACTCTGCAGAGGCATCATCATGGAGGGAGGGTGATGTCCTCAGAGAGAGTGGGTGCAGGATTAAAGAAGGGTCTGAGGGGGGTGTATAAATCTGCGGTACTTTGAATCGTGATGAGGTGGGTGGGACTGCCGCTGGGTCTGCAGCTGTATTGAGTGGTTTAGGGCTCAGTGTGACTGATGGGATAGGGAAGGTGTGGAGCCCTGCTGCGAGGGTGGCAGGGTAGATTGCTTCTAATAAAAAAAAAAAAAAAAAAAAAGGTCAGCCTGAGGCTATAGTTAGGATCAGGCTACTCTCCATAGGTCAGCGATTTGACTAAATGGCCCTGAAAAGCAATGTTGTGCACGTGTCTTCTCTCTCTCTCCGGGACCCTTTTTTTTTTTCTAACAAATAGCATGCGTCATTCTATATATTATATATATTATATATATATAGAGCAAAAGCAGGCCGGGAATTCCTCCACGTCTCAACCCGTCTCCGAGACCATTTCATTCATCCTGAGGACCAAATGGTCTGACGAGTTTGGGTGCATTTCGAGTGACTTGTGACTAGTGACTTAGTGATTGTGAAATTATTTTTCAAATTAAATTCTTTTTTTTCTTTTTTCTTTTTTGTGTCGTTGGCCCATCCTTTTAGCTCGAGCTTAGCTGGGTGGATGTTGTTCAATTGGGTCAGCTCTGTACCGTCCATAGTTGCCCTTGGAGATGGCACCGCAGGAATGCTTCATCAGAGTGTGAGGTCGGGGTGCCTTAGAGAACCCTCCGTCAGGCGTGTGAAATTAAAATCTTAATTGGGAAATTCATATCTTTTGTAATTGTCCTTTGGGACATCCGTTAAAATTGGAACGATACAGAGAAGGAAGATTAGCGTGGCCCCTGCGCAAGAAAGGATGACACGCATAAATCGAGAAAAGGTCCAAAACCTTTTCTAAACGAGTGGATGGTGCACTTAAACTATACAATCCGAGTGTACCATCTTCACAAGCATTTTGGGTGGTGTAAAGTTTAAATAAGCGGTGTGATGGCATTATGCCTTTAGGCTTTGGATCCCGTGTAAATCCATCCGTCAGGGAGTGACCAATTTTCCTCTCTCTCTCTCTCTCTCTCTCTCTCTCTCTCTCTCTCTCTCTCTCTCTCTCTCTCT